GCCCGCCCCGTGACGCCACACGCGCTGCCCGGGGCAGTGGTGCTGTGGCCGCTCGGAGCGCTGTTCCCCGTGCACATCGCTGTGGGAGCACACGGTGGTCCTGCCTCTCCGCTCCGACACGGGGCGCGCCCCACAGGGACCTGTGTTAGTGCCGCGGGTTGTGCCAGGCTGCCCGCAGGGTGTCAACACAGCGCAGGCATCGCGCCCTTCTGCCCGGTGTTGACTGCATAAATAACCACAGATTGGCCTGGGTTAGAAGGGACTTTAAGAACCATCTCCAGCAAGTTGATAACAAAGCAGTGTTGATTTTCACTCCTGAGCAGGTTACTCCAAGCCCCATCCAACCTGGCCTTGAGCACTGCCAGGGATGGAGCAGCCACAGCTTCTCTGGGCACCCTGTGCCAGTGCCTCAGCACCATCATAGGAAAGAATTTCTTCCTAATATGCAATCTAAACCTACTCTCTGTCAGTATGAAGCCATTCCCCCTTGTCCTGTCTCTCCAGGCCCCTGTCAACGGTCTCTCTCCAGCTTTCCTGTAGGCTCCTTCAGGTACTGGAAGGCTGCAATGAGGTCAGCCCAAAGCCTTCTCTCCTCCAGGCTGAACAAACCCAAATGTCTCAGCCATTCAATGATCAGGTAGTAAAATTACAGTACTGTCATTTTCTAATTGAAGCCCAACTTTATTCAAGATGAAAGGATCATTTCTCTGTGTCAACACCACAATTCATTTTTATATCAAATAGACTTCTCAGGTCTTCATTTCTCTCACCTTTACGGCTTCAGAGCCAGCACCTGCACACAACCCAAGGTCAGGAGAAAAGTGCCTGGGTGTCAGGATGCCCTGCACTGGCCCTTCTGAACCATTCTGCTCCCTCTCATCTAGGCTGCTGATGGCCAACAGCCTGATTCATTAATGACAACATCTATCTGAAAAGCACCAGAACTGAGCTGTGCAACAAGAAAGAAGGTTTCAGTCAGAACAGCTAACATTTTGCTTTATACCCAGGAGTACAAATTAATGACTAATAAGTAAATTCATCTTTGTGTCTGTGCTAAACATGAAACACTTCAAAGCTCTTTAATTAATCTCTCTTCACTTGCAGTGAACAGGCCTTTATGGGTCTTAGACACAGCTTCTTACAAAATCAAGAAAGGTGTATGTTTGGCAGTCCTAATAATAATACTAAAAATGAATAAATAAATTTTACAAAACCTAAAATATTCCTCCCTTAGTCCCTCAGCTTACACTGAGCCTCCTGTGTGCCCGAGAGGTTTTCTCTCAGCCTCTGGGTTTGCTGACTGTGCAGGCTGCTTATCTGGCTGTGAGAAGATTCAAAACCCAGTCATGATTTAGCTATTAAACCTGGGAATTAGCATCAGTAGGTAAAGGAATATTAACTGACCAACCTAAAGGTAAGCAGGTCGTGTCACTGCACAGTCTAGGTCTTTACCTTTAGCTGCTGGAATGGAGTTATTAACTCCTGTCAGACATTTCTATGACAAAAAGATGCCTGGCTGTGTAATCCTCTTACTCTTCGCAGACAGCTGCTGCACCAGAAACTCCTGAGTAAGTAGAGGGATTATAACACTATTGGTTAGGGATAAGGACTTCAGGATTGAGAGACTGAGGCTTAGGAAATGGGACATAACTGAGACAGTCTGGGCACAGGGACCATGGAGCTTGGTGGGAGACAACCTGTCAGGTGAATCTCTAGCTTGAGTATTAATACGTAAGGAAATATGGAGATCTCGGTGTCCCCATGTCCTACTCTCAGTGAGTTCTGACCTGGCAGGGATCCCACTGACCAGACCAGACTATATCTCCACTGCTTTTCAGTGTGGGTCAGCTTGTGGGGACTTGGCAGCAATAGCCAAAGCTCCCATGGGAATGGGAGCATACTCAGTGTCTCATAGATTTTCCTCTTCCCTATATCCACACACAAAATATGACCCAAAAGCCTGCTCTGCCTTTCCTGGGGAAAGGACTGAGCCTGCTTTTGATCTGCATGGTGTTTGTTCTAGCTGCCAGCTTTTACTCAGTCTCCCCAAGTGAGCCTATCCAGCACAAAGGTGTTCTCTGTGCAGGTGTGAGCCCTGGCTGCTTTGGTCTGCAAGCATCTGATGCTTGAGGTGGCAGTTTTGTCAGGCAGAACATCTGCAAGTTTATTGCCCCATTACTTTTGAAATGCTGTTGAGATGTGAGTGAGACAGCATCAAGTACTCTCCCCATTCCCTCGTGACACAAAAAGAGGAACAGAGAGCAGGGGCAGCCTGGCCTCAACTCTTGCACAAGAAAACATACACTGCCCTGTGTATGTATAAAGCACTTGCTGATCTCCTGCAGAGAAAGGCAACCCACACAGTCACCAAGGCTGCTCTCTGGACATTCAGGTTTTCTTACTGCCTATATGAGACCTGGGAATGACCCAGATTCTGTGCTAATCTAATTTGCCTGTGATCAGTGCTTCGTTTCTGTTGGCAAACACACCCTTTGCAGTCATTGGGATCCTTAAGTTTTTCTTAGCTCAGTGTCTAAATCACAAGACAGAAGTTTTAAACCAGATTTAAGTACACATTTGGTTGTGAAATTGCTAGTGATGCTACTGATCTGACCTGTAATTTTATCAAAGAATAACTTAAAACCACTGACTCCAGTGATTATGCTGCTTGTAAATGAAAATTCCCTGAGCTCCCATCTGAGCTCTTTGTGCTAATGTGAGTAACAAAGTCACAAAGTTCTTAGAGACAGATTATACCCACTGAATTTTATATTTTAAATGATAGCCTAGAAAGAGTTCCTGCATTCAGCTGATAAACTGGGGTAGCTGATAAATCCAGAGCACTGGATTTTTTAGTATTTTGCCTCATTTACCCAGAACTGCAATAAAAACTAGCAAAAAATGATAAAGAAAATTTCTGTTAAAATTAAGAGTATTCAATTTTGAGATACATTCATTTCCCCTACCAGTGTCAGAGGGAAGCTTCACTTTTAAGTGCTTTAAGTGAGCTGCATATCTTGTTTCCTATGCAATTCTTTGTGTCAGGTGTTATAATTTTCCTGAGCTTTATTTGGCTCCAATATGATTCTTGGAAGGGGTACATGGACTAGACATGCAAGAACCATGTGTATAACTGGTATCCTAACATCAAGCCATTTTGGCACTTCAAGCTATGTTTTTCAGGGGTTAATTATTATGAAGATGAAAATGCTAAAAGTACCAATCAAACAAAAATAAGCTTTAAGTCATCTGAGGGTTAATTTAGCCACAGAATGAATGAATGCAAGCTTCCCAGGACAGGCACTGGAGAGGGTCTTGCATTTACCAGCACCTGCCACCACTTGCTTCCAGTGGTGCTTGCAAAGTGCTGCCTTTCTACAACATTTCCTGATTATAAAGCCTCCTAATATTAGGTATTTACAGCAATTTCAGCTGTAAATACAGAAGCATACATCAGGTTTTTTTTCCTTCCCCATATATAACTCTTTTGATCTCAGATTATCATCTTCCTTTCTATTGTCAAATAACAACTGTATATAGAATAGCAAGACTAGAATGTCCTGTGTGTCTCAGTCAAGGCTTCAGACTTGCACTGCTTATTTCTGGATCCAAAATTCATGCAGAGCTCTAAAACTTGTTTAGCTAATAATCCAGCATAACTCCAAGATGCAATGCTGTGACTCATGTCTGAAGTTCGTACACGGATCTCAATACTGTATGTGAAAACCCAGGGGGGAGAAGGTGACAGTGGCTGCGCATCTCTGCCAACACCTTTTGTATTCTCAGCCACACAGATTGTTGGAGGAGATAAGGAGAAGCAGAACCTGATACAGGTGGCTCTGACTTCCTGGTCTGGGTGGTTTTGCACTGAGAGGCTTGAGTTGCGGTGCTGTCCTGACACTCCACGTCCTCATCCTCACGTGGGGTTTGGCACCTCCTGCCTCTCCCTTGGCTTCCTGCACTACCCTTCACTCTGAGTGACAGTCCTCAGCGGGCAGGCAGAGTGGAAGAGGAAGACAGCGCTGAGCCTTGGACTACCAAGAGGATTGCTGAGCTTCAGATTGCCTTGCTCTTGCTCAGACTGTTTGCAGAGAGAAAAAGTTCTTCCTGACATGGCAAGTGGGTAAGAGAAAATCATACTAATTCTTCTCTAACATGAAGGGTAGTGGGGATGGAATATATTCATGTGGGGAGATGTAAAAGGGTGAAAATTACATGACATGCAGCACAGCAATAATGTTGCTTCCTCCCTCTATTCTACTAGCTCAACACAGTGTAAAAGGTCAGTGAGACTACTGAATCATAAGCTGGTTTATCTTAAAACTAAGGTGATACTAAGATTTTGTGTAAACATAGCTGATGGCATAGAATTGGTTCTTCAAACATGACCTGCCTGCCCAGGACCTTGGCAGACTTCTGAGTAACTGCCTTGCCCTTATGTTTGTCCCTTAACAATGCCTTTTCCTTTCCGCTTACAAAACCTGCCTTACTTATCCTTGGGTATTTCGAATACCAGGTTTAAATGAAAAAAATTCACTAGACTCAAAAGACATACACACTGGCATAAGAGGAAAGTGGAGAGAATTGTTCTGTCTTCTATTAACCATATAAGCTGACGCAGGTATTTCACAACACTTGAACCAGTTTTCTTTAAATGATTGGGAACTTCTTGTAAATGACTGCTCATCAAGTATTCCAAGTGCTTTTCTTTTCTATGTAAAGACTAAAGTGTTTTTAAAACCTTCTTCGCAGGGCTTCATTTGACCCATTTGCAATACATGTTTTTCTTGCCTTGACACTGTTGACTTGTTCACATTATTCACCACTGACCTTCAATTCCCATCATGTCTTGAGTGATTTCTGATTTGCAGCAATAAAGTCTTCTTGGGGCATTGTTTTAGGTAAAATGAAGGTTTCATATAAGAAAATCACTTGGAAAAATCAGGGACACCATGTGAATGTTTCACTTGAAAGCGATAATAAAAGGGTGATGACAGATTGTTTTGCTCCAGTCACACTGCTGGTGCATCAGAGTTACTATTGCAAAGAACCTCCACCAAATGTTTTCTCAGCTCTTAAAAGTGCAGACTACATGTTCTTGTTATTGGGGTAGTGCTTTGCTCACGTAAGCACATCCAAGCAAGGCTCTCAAGTGGACAAAATCCAACTGGGCAGGTTTCTTGCACAGAAATAATTTATTCTATATGAAAGCACAATCTAACAACTGACAGCTTTTCACCATAGGAAAGGGATTGAGACTCAATGATAAAAATCTCTGCTTTGAGTCATACATGCAATTGTATTGAAAACCAGAGAGTAAATGTGCAATACTCTTTTTCAGGAATACCTTACCTAAATCCTGGTGTGTCATGGATTTCCATGAAGGTGTAGGGCATCTTGTCATTGAAGTTGTCTCACCTTGTATGTGTAAACTAAATTTATGGCCCTTTTATAAAGAAATACTGTTCAGAAAGAGCTTTTACAAGATGACTGTGTAAGTTGCTAAACAAGTTCTTTGCTTTGGCAAGAGTTTGTTTTTTTTTAATCCCCAGTTTCAATGTGTACAGCTCTGTAAACTAAAGGGACAACAAAAAAGAGAGGAAAAACCCATTGTTATATTGTGATAGCACCCAGCAGAGATGTAGAAGAGAAAAGGCTTTTATTTTACACAGTTAAGTGACTTCAGAGTTTTAGGACACATTTTATGAATGCAGGAATACATTTAGTTAGACATATATTTATTAAACAAATAAAAGGATTGAAATCTGTAGGTACTCTCTTGCAGTAACCCTCTCCTGAGTAGACTCTTTGAGCTTGCCTCCATGAGCTCATGTGATATTCCCTAACATTTCTAGAGCAGGAGAGGTCAAACAGAGCCTTTATAAACATAGGACAAATCTGCCAAGAGCAGACTGAGAACAAACAATAGGCATTGCAGGGATGACAGGTCTCCTGTATAGGTGACTTTTACTAAATTAAATATGTACTAAAATATGTGTATATAAAATACTGTATCTGTGGGACAAAATATGATAAAACAATCCAACACACACCCCCTAATATTTCACATACCTTGGATGTTCGACAGACAGCAGACTCGTACTTACCACTGGTAGTTATGCCCTAAATAAAAACTGTATTAAACCTAGTATGTCTGCTCTCAAAAAGCTGGGATAGGCTGATGCAGAAAAGCAGTCAGGAGGAGGGTCCCGAACCCAGCAGAAAAGTGATCAAATAAAACTGGGTCAGTCCAAGGTAAGATGAATGTAGACTTGAAGTTTGAAAAACATCTTTGGTACTGTTCTGTGAACTTGCCAATCCTACTCTTGGGACGTTAGCTGAGCTGGTGAGGTGAACAATTTTCTCTTTAGTGCTGGTTTGTAAGCTCTTTGGAGAAGGGATTGATCTTCTTAAGACTCTGGAAAGATTATGGAGTTATGGCTGAAAATAAATAAAACTGCTGCTGCTGGTGGTTTCTGTGATATGCTGTGAGGCTAACTGCCCAGGAAGTTGAGCAAGTACATCTGGACTGCACAGCCAGTGTTGATTGTGTGATGCCACAAGCCACACTTCTGCTGTGCAAGCAGAGCCTGAAGTCTGGGCAAGGGCTCTGTGGAAACCTCCTTCTTCTCCACCATAAGATCCATGTGAGAATGGCAAGCAAAAGTCTTCCTTCATATTCGTGTTTAACACTAGCAACAAACATACCCTTTGGCTCCCATACACTAGAATTTTTAGTCCTTTCCTTCTTTCAGGTACTGACACCTGTCCAAGCCCAGTTCAAAAGTCAAGTAATCTTGAAAATTTCCCATCCACAACTACCTCAAAATGCCAGAGACACTGTCAGTGCCTCCAGCGTAGCTGAGCTACACGATGGCTCAGATTCATGGCTACAGGCAAACTGAGGTGTGGCAGCCAAAGTAGATATGGTTATCTGCCCTGCCCTTCTGTAGGAGATTGCTTTTCCCACTCTAAAGGGTCTGTAAATATCATGTTCTTTATGCTCCTCAGCTGCTGCAGCACACTCTGGTGCTTTAATGTAAACTGCCTGCTTTTGGCTCTTAACTCAGGGCTATGAATTCCTTCAGGCAACAAGCTCTCAAGGAGTTAAGCGGATATTACTTATGCTTTTCAGGGTTTTAATCTTAGGCTGTATGAGTTCCACCACAAAGTTACACAGGCACTTCTAGAGAAAAGAGATTGCTCAATAATGGGCGAAAAAACAGTCTCAGATCTCCAGGCACAGTTTGCTGCCTTCTGTTTCTTTCAATACAGAGCTTAAACAACCAGTTTTTGAGTCAGCCACAAAGTGCAGTCCAAGAGAAGAGAAGACACATAAAATCATGCTGTACTGCTTCTGGACTATTCTCCAACCATTTCAGTTAATGCCCTCTTGTCTGCTATGACTTCTATTCCCTCCCTGCCAACAACAGGGCAGGTGCCCACCTGGCTCTCAAGCTGCCTCACATGAAGGCTGCCACATCAGAAGACTGTTGTGACCTTGCCACAACATTTGTGTGCTCTTTCTGTTAGAGAACATGGACTTTGCCACTGGCAGGAGGATGCAGCGAGTTATCTCCATCTTGACCAGATCAGAAGAAGACCTAACAGTAATCAGGAGGTTCAGAGTTGGGCTTGAAGGTGCCTTGGTTCAGTCTGGGAAAACCAGTTGTTGAAACAATGGCAAGTTGCCCAAATAGCTATTTGAAATAAATGTTCATTGTTGACACATTTCTGCACTTTTTTTCTTTTCTGAAGAACATCTGCCTTGGAGAAGAATTAAAAATTATCAAGTGGTTCTTCTCAGGGCTTTGCTGCATATGCTGGTTTGTAACTGATTGATTCCACTGTCAGTCATTAAAAGACTAATCCACTTCTCTTTCTTCTCCACTCTGTTCTTTGCCTTGGTCCTATTAGTGTGGACATGATGCACTTGGAGCTACCTTCAGGTGCTTCATCACAATAACAACCCTTCCTAAATCTTGTTGATAGATGGATGGAAAACTGTACACTATTATGCAGAACAAAATTCCATTAAAAATAAAGAAAGGAGCATCCAGGATAGGTCTGTATGTGCATCAGATACTAGTGCAGGAGAGAACTTTATTGTATGCAGATCCTGTGGTCAGAGCCTTACTCACCCTTCGTCACGCTACCTTTACGCTAGGATAGTCACATGCACGGGCAAAGGAAAACTTGTCCTGTGTGGAGTCTTGCTTCCAGGAAGAAAGGTAGGAAGAGTGTATGTATGATTTCTGCTAGAAAAGCATCATAGAGAGAATACTTTGCTTCCTGTTCTGTTGGTAGAGTTGCTGCACACTGGTAAGAGTCTCCTGCTTGCCTCTGGTTTGTATAAAGAATCCTCATGAATGGAACACCACCATCTTCGTTTTTGTTTCAGTGCATGGAAAACTGCAGGAAGACTTAGCAACAAGAACTTTGTTAAAATATACTCTAACATAACCTTAGGGAAGGCTCAAGTTTCCTTACAGGTTGCCTGCATTCTTTAGATATTAACATGAATCATAAGCCTTGCAGTTTTTAGAGTGGCCCTGACAGGAAGGTGTGAGGAGAAAGAGAAATTTCTCCTGATGACAAGCTGGTATCCAGAACATGGAGTCACATTAAAAGACTCTAGAAGTGATTTGCATTGTGTCTTTTTTACATGTGTATTTCTCTGTATTTCTTGACAGGAAGGCCTTAAATCATGAACTTTCTAAACTTTTCAATGAAATGTGGAATGTGGATGTTAACCGCCTTACCCCTGGGAAAGACTACACCATTGATGTGCAGGTAACCACTGCTAAGTCACATGAGGATTAAGGGCAGTGTGGTGCTGTAGGAAAAGGTGGCTGCAAAAGTCCCTCTTGCTAAAAATGTTGCCTGTGCTTTATTTCTGCCAGTGGCACAAGCAGGACATCCTAATGACACAGCAACACTTAGGAGGGAACAGTACAAATGGTCCACACTACCTGGATGTTGGTTACACGTGGAGTCTCTCAGGTGTCTGCCTTGGGTCCTATAACATTTCATATCTCTACCAGTGGCCTGGAGGAGGAGCTGGAGTGCCAGCTTTCCAGCTTCGCAGATACAGCAAACTGTGGTGCTGAAGTTGTGTGCTGGTTTGAGCTGAAGTAGAGTTAACTTTCTTCACAGAGACTATTATGAGGCTATGTTTGGGTTTTGTGCTGAACACAGAGTTCATAATGCAGAGATGTTTTTGTTATTGCTGAGCAGAGCTTACACAGAGTCAAGGCCTTTGCTGCTTTCCGTACTGCCATGCTGGCAAGGAAGTTGGGGGTGCATGGGAGACTGGGAGGAGGCACAGCTGGGACAGGTGACCCAAACTGACCAAAGGGATATTCCATACCATATGACATCATGCTCAGTATATAAGGTGGGAGGAAGAAGGAGGAAGGGGGGACATCTGGAGTGATGGCATTTGTCTTCCCAAGGAACCGTTATGTGTGATGGGGCCCTGCTCTCCTGGAGATGGCTAAACACCTCCTCTCTTCGGGAAGCAGTGAATTAATTCCTTGTTTTGCTATGCTTGTGTGTGCAGCTTTTGCTTTCTCTATTAAACTGTCTTTATCTCAACCCATGAGTTTTTGTAGCTTTTACCCTTCTGATTCGCTCCCCCATCCCGTTGGTGGGGGAGTGAGTGAGAGGCTGTGTGGTTCTTGGCTGCTGCTGGGGTTAAACCACAACAAGTTGGTATGCTCAAACACAGGGCTTCTCTTCCACTGGACCTAGGCAGGCTAGAGGAATAGGCTAAGGAAGGAACACCATGAAATTCAGCAAGGACTAATGCCATCAGAACAGGATACCCAGAGAAGCTATGAAATCCCCAACTCTGGAGGTTTCCAAGACCCAACAAGATGACACCCTGAGCAATACAGCCTGAATTCAGTGCTGACCACACTTTGAGCAGGACTAGAGATGTCCTGATGTCCCCTCCACCATGGGTGTTTCAGTGTGTGAATGACTGCATGTATGTATGGTCTGGGTGACTTGCAATAAGGGACAAGAGGAGATGGGTCCCAAGTCATTCTTAGGGAAATAAGGGAGGAATTCCTGGTTTTCTCCTGGACAGTGGGGAATAGCACAGAGGTGTGGGTGAGGAGGATTTCAGAGTCGTTGCTTCCAGTCCCAGGGAACTGTGAGGGAGGAGTGGGTATTACATTTGAAGAGCAGCCATTTCACTCCTGACCAGTGTAGTGCAAACATGACCATGTGTTTGGGCCACAAATTGCAAGAGGCCACTGAATATTCAGAATCCAATTTTGTACTCAGAAGTACTCACTTTATTCTGATGTTACTCAAACATTTTATTCCAATGTTGCTTCGTATCATAACATATAATTTTCTGTTGCTGATAAACTTGAATAGGGGTACCCACCTCAAGCCAAAATGTGTGTGGAGAAAACTTCTCCCATATGGTTTCTCCATTTGTAAGAACAAGGCTGCAGCTACTCCTTGCCCATGTTAACAAACTGCTACTCATCTGTCTTTTGTCTTTGAGAATGCCTTTTTTGGAAGAGAAATTAAAAAATTGTCAGGAAAGCCTCCTTACAGCTGCACAGAGATAGAAGAAACAAAAGGGAGATTTGGGTACCTTCTGTGTTGAGAGAGGGTCTTGGCTCTACATTGCCTCTGTTTATTGTCTGTGATGTATATAGCATAGTAGCACAGCTGGCTACTGATCAGAACTGAACCATCACATGAGTCATCACAATCATCTCTGAGTCAAAAGAGGAATTTCAGGCTCTTACAGTGTCAGATATTATGTCTTTTTTCTTTACACTGTAATATCTTCTCTTGTTTTATAGGAATACATTTCCTAAGAAAAGCTCTGACAGCATTATAGGGTTTGTTTTGATTATTACAAAGGCAGGCACTGTCTCCTCTACGGAGACGCACTCTCACATCGTTTTGCTCTGGTGTTTCTCCTAGAGAAAAGCGGGTCCCGCACAGCAGGGTGACAGTGCTGTCCAGGACAGTGCAGCCAGACATCTGTTTCAGAATGTAAATGAAGATTACCTGAAGAGCATAAAAACATTTGCAAGTAAGACCCTTTCACTTTGACATAAAAAGGAATGGCTTTCTCTAAGGACTGTCAAGGCATAGCCTATGGCATCTTTTTATGATGGCACTCTCTAATGCCAGGATCACAGGTATGGCCTAATCATCAGGATGAGCATGCTGAGTTTCTCTTTTTCTGCAGCTTTTATTTCCTTATTGGACAACTATGAGACATCAACTGGTGTAGCAGAAGTAGTGACGCCAGAAGAAATAGCTGAAAACAATCATTTTCTTGATGCTGTTTTAGCGACACAAGTCATGAGGATGAGTAACAGATCTATTTTCATTGCTTAAAAAACACTGAATTAAAAAAGTAAACTGTATCTATCTTGGTTTTCTCTCCTTCAGCTAGCTCATGAATATCTGCTTAAAAAAAGCCTAGCAAAGCCAAACCTTGTTGACTTCAAACATCAGCTCTATGACATCTGGTTCCAGCTCTATGCCAGGAAGGAAAGAGACAGGTATGTTTGATGGATATGGCCACTAATAATGTCTTTGCTACTCTGGTTTAGGCAAACATAAGCCCAAGTGCCATCTGTTACACTCAGAACTGGAAGACAGTGTCAGAATGGCCTCAAGCTAACAGAAAGTAGATTTAGATTAGATGTTAGGAAGAAATTCTTCCCTGTGAAGGTGGTGAGGCACTGGCACAGGTTGCCCAGAGAAGCTGTGGCTGCTCCATCCCTGTAAGTGCTCAAGGCCAGAATGGATGGAGCTCTGAGCAACCAGGGCTAGTGGAAGGTGTCCCTGCCCCTGGTAGGGGAGTTGGAACTAGATGATCTTTAAGGTCCATTCCAATCCAAACCATTCTGTGATTCTGTGAATGTGGCCTAAATCAGGTGTTCATGGCTCCCATACAGATTGTGTTTAAAGACTTACTGATAAGATGCTGACTGTGTTGACCCTTGGAGTACACCACTGCTGAATTGCCTCCAGCTGCACTTTGTGAACCTAATTATAGGCCTTCAACCACAGACATTCATCTGCTTTACAGCCCAGCACATCATCACCTTTTCTGATCTGTAATTCATCAGTTTGACTGTAAGTCTGTTATGGGAGACAGTGCCAGAAGCCTTGCTAAAATCTGGATAAGCAGCAGTGATACATCTGTGGCAATTACTAGCAACCTTCATCATCAAATACAAATTCAGTCTTCATGGCTAGATTTTATTGCAAGTTTTGTGCAAAGTAAGAAAGAAAACCCAACAATCCAGACAAAAACTGCTCACAAATCAACCAAAGCAAGGTTGTGCATCTTCTTGCCTTTTACCCCTGCCAGTCTGAACTATTTAAACACATAAAAGATCTATATGTTATTCTTTTGTTTATTACAGACCTGATTCTTGCGGTTTTGAACATGTTTTTGTTGGAGAAACAAGGCATGGTAAACAGATACTAGGTTTGCACAACTGGGTGCAATTTTACCTTCAGGAAAAGTACAGTCAAATTGACTACAAGGGATATGTCGCTCGGAAGAACAAAACCAGGCTAAGCACAAGGACAGTGTCTTTGCAAGTAAGACAAATGGATCCAGAGGTAAAAATTATTGTCATGAAACAAGGCACAGTGATACAATCATAGTTTCAAGTGTTTTGAACAATAATAAGTATATACTGTTTATAACTGTCTATAAGCAGAACAAATAGTAGCATGCTTTCCAGCTTCTTTTTTTGAAAAAAACTGTTTTAAAAAGTAGTGCTGGTGTTTACAGAACTGCAACACTGCTGAGACTTAATTGAGATAAATGATCATGTATGCCTCAGAGGTGTGCATCCTGGCAGACCAAGGATGACTGAATCTTGCAAAGCTTTCAAAAACATGGAATCAGAAATTCTATCTGTCCTGTCACAGCTGTGTTAGAGATTATTCTGTTGCTTTTTTTTGTGCTTTCAGCCTGACCATGATGACCAAGTTTTGAGCATCCAGTTCAGCTGGAAGGGTTCAGTCAAGCCAATTGGAAGCACCTTCACTGGTGTCAGCCCAGAGTTTGAATCTGCCCTTTACACTGTCATTTTCCTGCTGGATAAAGAAAAAGTCACACGTGAAACTGTGAAGATAGATGAATATGAGCTACAGATCGTTGTTTGGCGCCATGGGCACCACACTGGAACAGCATATCCAGTACTCCTCAGGACCAGTAGTGGAGACTAGCAGTTAGAGTGAGAAGGCAACATTTCTTTTTTTTTCTCAGAGGAAGAGTGAGCATGGTGGGGAGGGGAGAAATGGATGGGGGATGGACAGAACCAAACAACAGAGTAAGTTAGTGTTTTATAAAACTCATTGCAAGTAAAAATTGATGACACTCTCTTTTGGGTAGTGTTTAATCAGTAGTGTGCTGTGACTCAGTGTCTGACAAACCATGGAACATACTCCTGCTCATATTAAATGCTGGATCAAATTTACATTTTCATAAATGACTTGGATGCAGGACTTGAAGGGCTACTAAGTAACTAAGTAAGTTTGCAGATGACACTAAATTGGGAGGAGCTGTTGACTCCCTCAAAGGCAGAGAGACCTGGACAAATTAGAGGTGTGGGCAGTCACCAACTCTGGGAAGTTTAGCAAAGCCAAGTGCGGTATTCTGCTCATGGAGTGGGGCAACCTTGAATGTATGGATGGACTAGGGAATAAGAGGCTGGAGAGCAGTGCCATGGAAAAGGACCTGGGGGTGCTGGTCAATGGCAAGTGGAATAGGAGTCAGCAGTGTGCCCTGGCAGCCAGGAGGGACATCTCTGTCCTGGGGTGCATCAGGCAGCAGGAAGGGGAGGGGATTGCCCCACTCAGCTCCCCACTGGAGTGGCCTCACCTTGAATACTGTGTGCAGTTTTGGACACCAAAATTTAGAAAGTATATAAAGCTATTAGAGTGTCCAAAGCAATTGAGAGAACAGCAATAGAGGAACAACTGAGAGACACTGATGAATCAGTTCACCATTCCTTGTAGCATCAAATCTCCTGAAGCACAACAAGAGAGGCTGAACTGTTGAATTTTTGAAACACATAGGACCTAAGGTAGATAACAGACATGGAATAAAATCATGGAGCTGTCACACAGAACAACAGCTTTGTGGTCTAGAAACCAACCCTGTGGAAGGTCAAAGGCACTCAGCTTCCGTCAGGTTGGGCAACTTCCCTGCAGCTAAGCACCCAGAGGTCACATTGCAGGTCTTGAATGCCCTTCAGGGTCCCCCTTCATCTTGGCATAGGTGGCAGGGCAGAACTCAGAATAGAGCTGAGCCAGCAGAGTCTGGGAGAAGATGTTTAGTCTGGTCCCTTTGCTCATTTTGTTCCAGACGTGCACAGCATAGGTGTTCTTAAGGAGTTTATGAAACTTCAGGGAGCTGATTGCTTCAAATAGCTTCTTCCAGTCCTGCCAGGGAATGGGATAAATGGCTTCTGGGGCAAGAGCATTCACACCTTTGCAGCTCATGCTCTGGATAGTCCTGATGGAGCACCACTTCTTGAAGACACGTGTTAGGAGCTGTGGGCCCTGGTGCCCCCAGATCCAGCTGTTGTAATTCTCCACAAAGTCCTGCATGCAAAGCTCCATGAACTTGTGCTTAGGCTCAAAGGACAGAAAGGCCCCATTCAGTTCATCCTCACACTGGATCCCAAGGGCATTGGTGAGGTTCTGCAAGTTCTTAAGCACAATGTGTAGATGCCCCCAAATTTCCACATGAGGACAATCCTGCAGGCATCAGACAGGATGGGTAAGAAATAAGGCTCCAAGTGCCGCAGAGGCCACGAGTACCACTTTTCCAGAGGTGTTCCAG